CCCTGCATTCGCTGTATCCGCTCTCCCCGGACCCTGCATTCGCTGTATCCGCTCTCCCCGGACCCTGCATTCGCTGTATCCGCTCTCCCCGGACCCTGCATTCGCTGTATCCGCTCTCCCCGGACCCCGCATTCGCTGTATCCGCTCTCCCCGGACCCCGCATTCGCTGTATCCGCTCTCCCCGGACCCTGCATTCGCTGTATCCGCTCTCCCCGGACCCTGCATTCGCTGTATCCGCTCTCCCCGGACCCTGCATTCGCTGTATCCGCTCTCCCCGGACCCTGCATTCGCTGTATCCGCTCTCCCCGGACCCTGCATTCGCTGTATCCGCTCTCCCCCGGACCCTGCATTCGCTGTATCCGCTCTCCCCGGACCCTGCATTCGCTGTATCCGCTCTCCCCGGACCCTGCATTCGCTGTATCCGCTCTCCCCGGACCCTGCATTCCTGTATCCGCTCTCCCCGGACCCTGCATTCGCTGTATCCGCTCTCCCCCGGACCCTGCATTCGCTGTATCCGCTCTCCCCGGACCCCGCATTCGCTGTATCCGCTCTCCCCGGACCCCGCATTCGCTGTATCCGCTCTCCCCGGACCCCGCATTCGCTGTATCCGCTCTCCCCGGACCCCGCATTCGCTGTATCCGCTCTCCCCGGACCCCGCATTCGCTGTATCCGCTCTCCCCGGACCCCGCATTCGCTGTATCCGCTCTCCCCGGGACCGCTGTATCCGCTCTCCCCGGACCCCGCATTCGCTGTATCCGCTCTCCCCGGACCCCGCATTCGCTGTATCCGCTGTATTCGCTGTATCCGCTCTCCCCGGACCCCGCATTCGCTGTATCCGCTCTCCCCGGACCCCGCATTCGCTGTATCCGCTCTCCCCGGACCCCGCATTCGCTGTATCCGCTCTCCCCGGACCCCGCATTCGCTGTATCCGCTCTCCCCGGACCCCGCATTCGCTGTATCCGCTCTTCGCTGTATCCCTCTCCCCGGACCCCGCATTCGCTGTATCCGCTCTCCCCGGACCCCGCATTCCCCGCTGTATCCGCTCTCCCCGGACCCCGCATTCGCTGTATCCGCTCTCCCCCGGACCCCGCATTCGCTGTATCCGCTCTCCCCCCGGACCCCGCATTCGCTGTATCCGCTCTCCCCGACCCCGCATTCGCTGTATCCGCTCACCCCCGACCCCGCATTTGCTGTATCCGCTCTCCCCGGACCCCGCATTCGCTGTATCCGCTCTCCCCGGACCCCGCATTCGCTGTATCCGCTCTCCCCGGACCCCGCATTCGCTGCATCCCGCTCTCCCCGGACCCCGCATTCGCTGCATCCGCTCTCCCCGGACCCCGCATTCGCTGCATCCGCTCTCCCCGGACCCCGCATTCGCTGCATCCGCTCTCCCCCGGACCCCGCATTCGCTGTATCCGCTCTCCCCGGACCCCGCATTCGCTGTATCCGCTCTCCCCGGACCCCGCATTCGCTGTATCCGCTCTCCCCGGACCCCGCATTCACTGTATCCGCTCTCCCCGGACCCCGCATTTTCTTATCTGGTCTCCCATAGTACATAGAACATGGAAGTGCAATTGTTTAGTAAATATAAACTGCTAAATAACTTTTCTCATCAGCAGTATATAGCGGTCTTGTGACTTCTATCAGTGTCCAGCAGAGCACTGGTTCATTTTGTAGCAGGAGTTTTCATTCTCCTCTGACTGTCCTATGAGGCTGCATGACCTCTAAACCTCTGTCTGGGCAGTGCTGATCACGTGCACCCCCCCCCCCCCCCAAAAAAAAAAAAAACCCCAACTCTTTGGCCATAAACACCAAACTGGACATGTGCAGAATGCCTCCTAGAGCTCTGTACTAACAGCAGGTGGATTGGGGACAGTAGAAGAAGGGGGAGGATCAGTGAAGACAGGATCAATCATCCTTTTTACACAATGCGAAGGATTAACCCCTTAGGTTCCACAGTGAGTATAACAAGCATGCTTTAATGCATCTACAGACTGATTGTACTGTTGTGGGTTTAGTAACACTTTAATATACAATATATCTATCTCACTGGTATAGTGGTTCTCCTTCGTAATGGCAGTGGAAGACATACAGGTCTTGGACCCTGATTGCAGAGAAATGCAAGAACCTCCAGTATATCTAAAGCTGTATTTTAAATTTTTTTTTTTTTTTTTTTTGGGGGGGGGGGTATGATTGGAGATGCGTAAGACCCCTGACAAGTTGTATTTATGTTGCTGTGTGTATCCTAGACTTTCCTTCACTTCCTGTTTTAGAGACACAACATGAAGTGAGAGCAAATCTCTCCAAAGTAAAGAAATATCCTCTTTTAGATAGTTGTCACCAGAACAGCGCTTCCTCCTCCTCACCACGTTATCCAAAGTGGGGGGGGAAAAAAAAAACTTTTGGCTTGTGATACACTTTAATTATCACTTTTTAGGTGGACTGACCCCATCGACACCAACATGGAGAGGCAATTAAAAGATAGTGTTTATCTAAATTAAATGTCTACTAAGGAAAGTACCTTTTTGTTTTATTGTTGTAATTTATTTTGTCAACCCGCAACATCGGGAACGCTTTACAGTCTCCTATTGTGAATTCTGTGGAAGAGTTCCTCTCTGGTAATGTCACCGCTTTCCTCGGCTGTCCATCACCCATATTGTCCTCCCTGTCTTCTGGCTCCATTTCATTCCCTCCCATATCCCTCTCTGGTTAATGGCTCATAAAGATGGTATGTGCCGTTCTCCTACTCCGCCTTTCAAATGTCAGCGAGGTAAAGGCTCGTCTTCCATACCTTGCACTGATCGCTGCATTTTGCGTCCAGTTTTTTGTCACGTTAGGCCCGACTGGTCCAAACCAAACCTACGTGTTACTCCACACCGCCTACTGCATAGCTGAGGGGATCAGACGTGGCTACATCAGCTGCCAACCAATTGTGGGGGCACAGGATTTGTGACCTTCAATGATGGAAGTCTTCCAGTTTTTGGGGTGTGGGTACACACACTGCTAAAGGAACACTTTGAAAACACGTCAGATCTCTCAATGGGGTAAAAAAAAAAATCTCATTCTGGATATCTGTACTGATACGGACGGGGTAATGTGTTAGGAACGTAAAGATGCCCCATCGTTTGATTTTTGGGGTGTCTTTTAACCATTAGCCGCCCGGCCTATAGCCGTTTGGCGGCCGCAAAAATGGTTTAGCTTTCCGGGTTGTACGCCATTTGGCGTCCTCCCGCACATGCGCAGTTCGCACGGTTGCAGAGCCGCGATCTGTCACCGGCCGTGTACCTCGGACACAGCCGATGACAGATCTGAGTACCGGCCCCCCGTTGCCGGTACCATGTGACCTGCTGTGACCGATCACAGCAGGTCACATGACAGTTGTATACAATGGATGGCTTCATTCATGCCATCCATTGTATACTAGTGCCTAGCTGTGAATGGTCACAGCAGGTCACATGCACATGTCATGTGATTAGCTGTGGCCAAATCACAGCTAAGCACACAAAAAAAAAAAAAAAAAAACCTGAATGAATCGATGTCATTCAGGTAAATGCTTGCTTATAGTAAAGTAATTATTTGCTATAAGCAAATTATGTTAAAAAAAAAAAAAAAAAAAATACTGATCACTTCCGCAGAGTAGTACAATGTTACTATGGTAACATTGTACTACTTTGGTCATAGTAAAATATGAAAAAAAAATCTTAAGTAATAAAAAATTAAAAATAAAATTTAAAAAAATATTTTTTTTTCATACTGTCACCAGTCAGTGTCCCTGATCACCGCCATGCCAGTTATATGGTATGACGCTGTACTGCACTGGTGACAGTATGTAAAAAAAAAAAAAAATAGTGAAAATAATTTTTTTTTTTTTTTCATTTTCCGAAAAATTGACAAAAAGAATACAACTTCAAAAAACTCCACATGCCTCTTATGAAGTACGTCGGACTGTCTACTCTGCAAAAAGAGGTCATTTGGGGGATATTTTACTATTCTGACATTTGGGGGATATCTGTACTGTCCTGACATTTGGGGGATATCTGTACTGTCCTGACATTTGGGGATATCTGTACTGTCCTGACATTTGGGGGATATCTGTACCGTCCTGACATTTGGGGGATATCTGTACCGTCCTGACATTTGGGGGATATCTGTACTGTCCTGACATTTGGGGATATCTGTACTGTTCTGACATTCTTGGACCTCAAGAAATTAGATTGGCTGTCAGTACTTCAGGATTGATCAATATTCAGATCTATCCCATAGTTTGTGAACTCTATAACTTTCCTACAAACTAAATAATACATCCTAATTTGGGTTATTTTCACCAAAGACATGTAGCAGAATACATCTCGGCCTAAATTTATGAAGAACAATTATTATTTATTTGTAAACTTTTATAACAGAAACAAAGAAAAACGTATTTTTTTTTTTCAACATTTTTGGTCTTTTTTTTTGTTAATTTAGCAAAAAATAAAAACCCCGGCGGTGATTAAATACCACCAAAAGAAAGCTCTAGTTGTGTGAAGAAAATGATAAAATTTTAGTTTGGGTACAATGTTGTATGACCGCGCAATTGTCATTCAAAGTGTGAGAGCGCTGAAACGTGAAAAATGGCCTGGGCAGGAAGGTGTAAAATTGCCCGGTATTGAATTGGTTAAATTCAGTCCTCTGTAGGTCGATCATTTTCATCCAAGTGAAAAAATGATGCAACAGGCGAGTCCATTTTGCTGAAATCTCATTGCAGCAACTTGAAACGGTTCTCAGTACTCTGTATGGCCCCCACATACTTGTACGCATGCCTGACAACGACGGGGCATGCTCCTAATGAGACAACGGATGGTGTCCTGGGGGATTTCTTCCCAGATCTGGACCTTTTGGTTCCAGTCAGACGATGGAGCCTTGGATTCATTATCACCTCCAGTAGCCTGGGACTCTGCCCAACACTCACTACGAGACTGCGGGATCCTCTACTCCAGCAGCCCGGGATCCTGTCTCCATCTTAAGTGGCCAGCTCCCCATGGAATGGACCAGTAACGGTCTACTAATGGGCTTTTTAAACTTCTTTACATTGTGAGTTTTATCATTGTGGTTCATTCAATTTTCCCCACATACTGCACTCAGAGGGCATCTCTCTTCTCCTTTTTTTCTTTTGCAACCTCTGTAGGGTCCAGATATGGCCTCATGCTACCAGTAGTGACACTGACCCTAGCCAAATGCAAAACTAGCGAAAAACAGTCAGAAAAGATGAGTAGGGAAAAAATGTCAGTGGCCTCCACCTGTAAAACCATTCCTGTTTTGGGGGGTCGTCTCATTGTTGCCCATCTAGTGCACCTGTTATGTCATTAGCACCAAAGCAGCTGAAACTGATTAACAACCCCCTCTTCTACTTACCTGACCAGATCAATATCCCAGGAGCTTCATTGACTTGATGCTAGACTCTGATTAAAAAGTCTTCCTTTTAATTTTTTTGAACGGTGTATATTAGTTATTATGCCATGGTAACCGGACTGCATCCATTATGGATTACCATTTAGGTCACATGTTTAAAAAAAAAAAAAAAATTATATCCATCTAAAACTTAAGGGACTTCTACCCTTCACTCACTATACCATGTTAGTTGAATTGGTTTTAGGCTCCATTCTGTAAAATATTCAGATATTTTATATATATATATATATATATATATATATATATATATATATATATATATATATATAATAAAATATATATATATATATATAATAAAAAAAAATATATATATATATATATAATTTTTTTTTTATTAAATAATATATATATATATATATATATATATATAATAACAACACACACAACACACAACACACACACATACACACACACACACAATCACACCATTTTCTACACACACACATTTATATATATATAATATATATATACACACACACACACACACAAATAAATCACACCATTTTCTATACACATATATATATATATATATATATATATATATAATGTGTGTGTGTAGAAAATGGTGTGATTTATTTGTGTGTGTGTGTATGTATATATATATATATATATATATATATATATATATATATTATTTAATAAAAAAAAAATTATATATATATATATTTTTTTTATTATATTATATATATATATATATTTTTATTTATATATATATATATATATATATTATTTTATATATTATATATTTATATATATATTTATTTGTTATATTTATTTTTGTTATATATATATTTTTTTTTATTTAATACATATTCCCTATAAGGCTACATCTACAATATATGCCACACACTGAGATGTTCTGGGGTTTTTTTTTTTTTTTTTTTTTTTTCTTCCCCCCCCCCCTGTCTTTTTTGTGTGCGATGACATTGCCCACGGCCGATTGCGCACAATCTACTTGTCTGTCTAATCCTGTTACCTGACTCTTGAGGATAGGAGGAAATTGTCGGAGTCTAGTGACGGAGGCAGGAGCTGAGACTTAATTACAGTATAGGCTTCCGGGGTTTGACATGTATTCTACAAGAGCGGTAAAGGGGGTATTTAACCCCCCGCTGGGCCTTCCACAGGTGTGGATCTGTGTGATAAACCCCATTACAAGGCTATTTTCACCTTGCACTGCTAAAAATATACATAAAGCTTAGGCTTTCCTTGTGAATTTTTTTTTTTTTAAGAAAAGTAAGTTTTTTTAATTTTTTTTTTTTTGTTTTTTTTTTTTCTGTTCTTCAAAAAGGGTTTTTTTTTTTTTTTTTTTTCCAATACATATAATCCCTTAGCAGAAAACATATTTATTTGCAGGGGAGTATGTCGTCCACAGCTGTCTGTAAGGGACTGGCTGGACTAATGGAAGTGATGATCGCTCCACATCTGACATAACTGCTTTGCTTTCTCTGCAGGAGACCATCAGGACGGCCCTGGCCATGGGAGCTGACCGAGGCATCCATGTAGAAGTCTCTAAGGATTTAAATTCACTCGGACCTTTCCAGGTCTCCAAGATCCTGGCGGCTCTGGCCAAGAAAGAGAATGTGAACCTGGTGCTTCTGGGAAAGCAGGTGATTTTATATGGAATATAGTTGTTGTATGTTGGCTATGTTGTAAATGCAATCCTCCACATTTGTGAAAAACGTGTCTTTTTAAAGTGGTTGTAAAGTTAAGACCTTTTTTTTTTTTCTGCATTAAGATAGAAAATGTTCCCAGTAGATGCATTGCCCCCTCACTTCCCTAAATACTTGCCCTGGTCTTGTATCGACCCAACACTGTGCCTGTCTGCAGCAGCACTGATTCAATCTCCCTGCCCTCACAGGCACAGAGACAGCAGTGTGAGCCATTGGCTCCTGCTGCTGTCAATCAAATCCTGTGGGCAGGGAGCAGGGCACACAACCCTGGATCTGGAACAAGAACAAAAGGTGCACCCCCATAGGAAGTAGATTTCTACGGTGGTGCACAGAGAAGTTGCAGAGCCTACAGCCCCCATGGGGGGGACCCCAGAAGAGCAGGTTTCGGGACGCTCTGTGCAATACCATTGCACAGAACAGTCAAGCGTAACATGTTTAAAAAAAATTTTTGTCCTGTACAACCACTTCAAAGTAGAACTCCAGGCTAAACCTAACTATTATTAAAAATTCTCCCTCCCCCCTCCTAAAGCCTATGCTGTGTAAGAAAGATGTGTATACAGCGCATCCAGAAAGTATTCCAAGCGCTTAACTTTTGCCACATTTTGTTATGTTACAGCCTTATTCCAAAATGGATTAAATTTATTTTTTTTCTCAACATTCTACAAACCATACCCCATAATAAAAACATTAAAGAAGTTCGTTTTGAAATCTTTGCAAATTATTAAAAATTAAAAAAACCCACATGTACATAAGTATTCACACCTTGTGCTCAATACTTTGTTGAAGCACCCCACATGGAAGAAAAATATATTTTAAAAATATTCTTCCCAAATATATTGATATGTATTTGAAATACTACAATTTTGGCCATATTCAATATATTTAAAAAAAAAAAAAAAAATAAAATATATATATATATATATATATATATATATATATATATATATATATATATATATATATATATATATATATATATATATGTTGAAAAATGCGTTTTTATTACAAAATATTTTTAAAAATACATTTTCAAATATACTGTCTTTTTTTTTTTTTTTTTTTTTTTTTTTTTTTTTTTAAAATGCATTTAATCTACATTTTTGGAATGCATTTACAAACATATGTTAGAATTAAATTTTTATCTGAAGAATAGATTAAAAAATATATATATATTTTTCATATATTTTGTAATATATAAAAAACACATTTCAACACGTGTGTGTGTGTGTGTGTGCGTTTGTGTTTTTAAATATATTGAATACGGCCAAAATTGAGGTATTTCAAATATATGCCAATATATTTGGGAAGAATATTCTTAAAATATATTTTTCTTCCATGTGGGACCTTTTGTACCAATTACAGCCTCAAGTCGTTTGGCCAAAAATAGGTGTGCCAAGCTTGTAGCATCATACTCCAATTTCTCCCATTCTTCTTTGCAGTACCTCTCAAGCTCCATCAGGTTGGATGGGGAGCGTCGGTGCACAGCCATTTTCAGATCTCTCCAGAGATGTTCAATCAGGTTCAGGTCTGGGCTCTGGCTGGGCCACTCCAGGACATTCACAGAGCTGGCCCATAGTCACTCCTTTGTTATGTGGGCTGTGTGCTTAGGGTCGTTGTCCTGTTGAAAGATGAACCGTCGCTCCAGTCGAAGTTCCAGAGTGCTCTGGAACAGGTTTTCATCAAGGATGTCTCTGTACATTGCTCATTCATTTTTCCTTCGATCCTGACTAGTCTCTCAGTTCCTGCCGCTGAAAAACATCCCCACAGCATGATGCTGCCACCACCATGCTTCACTGTAGGGATGGTATTGGCCAGGTGGTGAGCGGTGACTGGTTTCCTGCAGACATGACGCTTGGCATTCAGGCCAAAGAGTTCAATCTTTGTTTCATCAGACCAGAGAGTTTTGTTTCTCATAGTCAGAGTTCCTCAGGTGCCTTTTTGGAAACTACAGGCGGGCTGCCATTTTCCTTTTACAGAGGAGTGGCTTCTGTCTGGCCACTCTACCATACAGGTCGGATTGGTGGAGTGCTACAGAGATGATTGTTCTTCTGGAAGGTTCTCCTCTCTCCACAGAGAAACACTGGAGCTCTTTCAGAGTGACCATCGGGTGCTTGGTTACCTCCCTGGCTAAGACCCTTCTCCCTTGATCGCTCATTTTGGCCGGGTGGCCCACTCTAGGAAGATTCCTGGTGGTTCCAAACTTCTTCCATTTATGGATGATGGAGGCCACTGTGCTTATTGGGACCTTCAATGCTGCAGAAATTTTCTGTACCCTTCCCCAGATCTGTGCCTTGATACAATCCTGTCTCGGAGGTCTACGGACAATTCCTTGGACTCCCTGGCTTGGTTTGTGCTCTGATATGCACTGTTACCTGTGGGACCTTCTATAGGCAAGTTTATGCCTTTCCTAGTCATGTCCAATCAACTGAATGTCCCACAGGTGGACTCCAATCATGTTGTGGAAACATCCCAAGGATGATCAGTGGGAACAGGATGCACCAGAGCTCAATTTTGAGTGTCATGGCAAAGGCTGGGAATACTTATATACATGTGGGGTTTTTTTTTTTTTTTTTTTTTTTTTTTTTTTAATAAATTGCAAAGATTTCAAAACAAACTTCTTTCAGGTTGTCTTTATGGGGAATTGTTTGTAGAATGTTGAGGAAAAAAAAGAATTTAATCCATTTTGGAATAAGGCCGTAACATAACCAAATGTGGCAAAAGTTAAGCGCTGGGAATACTTTCTGGATGCGCTGTATGAATAGCTGAGATATCTGACCAATGGGAATACTTTCTGGATGCGTTGTATGAATAGCAGAGATATCTGACCAATGGGAATACTTTCTGGATGCGCTGTATGAATAGCTGGAGACATTCAACCAATGGGAATACTTTCTGGATGCGCTGTATGAATAGCTGAGATATCATCTGACCAATGGGAATACTTTCTGGATGCGCTGTATGAATAGCTGAGATATCATCTGACCAATGGGAATACTTTCTGGATGCGCTGTATGAATAGCTGAGATATTCTGACCAATGGGAATACTTTCTGGATGCGCTGTATGAATAGCAGAGATATCTGACCAATGGGAATACTTTCTGGATGCGCTGTAGGAATAGCAGGAGACATTCAACAATGGGAATACTTTCTGGATGCGCTGTATGAATAGCGGAGACATCCAATGGGAATACTTTCTGGATGCGCTGTATGAATAGCTGAGATATCATCTGACCAATGGGAATACTTTCTGGATGCGCTGTATGAATAGCGGAGACATCTGACCAATGGGAATACTTTCTGGATGCGCTGTATGAATAGCTGAGATATCATCTGACCAATGGGAATACTTTCTGGATGCGCTGTATGAATAGCTGAGACATCCGACCAATGGGAATACTTTCTGGATGCGCTGTATGAATAGCTGAGATATCATCTGACCAATGGGAATACTTTCTGGATGCGCTGTATGAATAGCTGAGACATCTGACCAATGGGAATACTTTCTGGATGCGCTGTATGAATAGCGGAGACATTCGACCAATGGGAATACTTTCTGGATGCGCTGTATGAATAGCTGAGACATCTGACCAATGGGAATACTTTCTGGATGCGTTGTATAAATAGCTTTATCTGGAATACGCTTCTGGATGCACTGTATGAATAGCTGGAGACATCCGACCAATGGGAATACTTTCTGGAATGCGCTGACCAATGGGAATACTTTCTGATGCGCTGTAGGAATAGCTGAGACATCCGACCAATGGGAATACTTTCTGGATGCGCTGTATGAATAGCTGAGACATTCGACCAATGGGAATACTTTCTGGATGCGCTGTATGAATAGCTGAGATATCATCTGACCAATCTGGATGCGCTGTAGGAATAGTGGAGACATTCGACCAATGGGAATACTTTCTGGATGCGCTGTATGAATAGCTGAGATACATCTGACCAATGGGAATACTTTCTGGATGCGCTGTAGAATAGCAGACATGACCAATGGGAATACTTTCTGGATGCGCTGTATGAATAGCAGACCGACAATGGGAATATTTCTGGATCGCTGTTATGAATAGCTGAGACACACCAATGGGAATACTTTATGGATGCACTGAACTTGCCTATTTTCAGCCCACTTATGTCTGGTCACATGATTTGACTCCCCTTCGTTAGCCATGGCAGCTGCAGGGTAGAGAGGAACACTGACAGCAGGTAGGCCACAGGAGCCATCACTGCTTTAGGAGTTCCCAGCCTTTTTGTCAAGCGCTTTTTCCCCTGTAGCGTTTTGCGTCCGACACAGGGGGTCATGTGACTGGACCGGAGCGGGCTGAAAATAGGTAAGTATATGCATCTGTCATACAGGGGTTAGTCTGCATATGTGTTAGGAGGGGGGGAGGGGGGGAGCATTTTTAAGTGTAATTGGCTTTAGCCTGGAATTCTATTAAGTGCAGGATGTGTACTGTGGGCTGGGAATCGCCCTCCACATTGCTTATGGCACAGGCAGGGGCGGACTGACCATTTGGAAACTTGGGCACTGCCCGAGGGCCTGGGGTCAGTAGGGGGGCCCCATGAGATGCCCCTGGTATCTTCTTTTTTTTTTTTTCATAGGCTTTTTTGAGTTTGGCCAAGGACACAGGGGCCCCATGATCCCCTATTGCCCGGGGGCCCCAGGAGCTGTCAGTCCGCCCCTGGGCACTGGTGTCAAACTGGTGGCCCTCCAGCTGTTGCCAAACTACAAGTCCCATGAGGCATTGCAAGATTGACAGTTACAAGCATGACTCCCAAAGGCAGAGGCATGATGGAACTTGTAGTTTCGCGACAGCTGGAGGGCCGCTAGTTTGACACCCCTGCTTTAGGGCATTCATTTTAAAGAGTACCATTTAACTTTACCTGTTTCTATGAATTTCTTATTCCCAAAAAATATTCCGAAAAAAAAAAATCCGAAACTCTATATGGGTGCTATACATTGTCAAGTGGAAGGTCCAGTGCCTATCTTTTGTGTTGAATGACACTCAATGTTAGGATTTGCAGGGTGTCATATGGCCCCCACCCCGTGGGAGCGTCTCCATGGCTCGCTGCTTTCAATGTGTAATGGTGTGCAGATAGTGGCGCTAACATTGTCCTGTCAGCACCACACGTTGCATCATTGAGGAATGCCCAGCCCAGAGAAAAGACAAAGAAGACCATGTGGTGTCATGTCACTGTCCTGAGTACTTTGGAAAAGGTAGGGGGTGTGTTTGTTTTTTTTTTTTTTCTTTTTTATATATATATATATTCACAGGTTATAAAAAAAAAATTATGCAGGTCTTGGTGCATTCCCTTCTCGCCCACCTTCCTTTATTTATTTATTTTTATATATATATATATATATATATATATATATATATATAAAGGAAGGTGGGTGAGAAGGGAATGCACCAAGACCTGCATAATTTTTTTTTTTTTTTATAACCTGTGACTGAATATCCAGTTTCTGATGTAAGCCCAGAGACTGAGGTCAAACAAGAAAATAAAATGTATGACCCGAGGTCATTTAAACATTAACTCTATAAAAATGAATGAACAGATGGGAAACTTTTATGATTTTTTTTTTTTTTTCTTTTTTTATTATTATGTTGGGTTCAGGTTGAGCAGAAAGTCTTGTGTGTTGACAGCTTCTGTATACATGACGTGTGTCTTCTGATCTTTACTGCCCGCATTGTTCTGTGTTTTACTGTGATTGCCGTGCTGCTCGCCATGAATCACATCCTGGAAGCTGGCCTCTCAGTGCCTCTCTGCGATAATACTCTACAGCATTGCCCTCCAGCTCAGCTCTCTCTCTTCTCTCCTCTTGCAGGCCATCGATGATGACTGTAATCAGACTGGACAAATGACCGCTGCGCTGCTTGACTGGCCTCAGGTAGCTGTCCTTCCAGGCTGTCTTTTATTTTTTTTTTCTAGAAAGAGACGATTTACGGAGAAGGTTTAAAGACAAAGTAGCCACAACATTGTCCTTGGTTAAAGGATGGAGGGATCTATATATGTGTACACACACACTCGCCCTATTATGTTCGTTAAATGCAAAACCAGATAAAGATTGACATTTTTAGGACCTGCGTCCATTGGGCTGTGTCAATGGCATTTAGTTTGAGACATTATTCAGAATTAGGTGCACTTGCTCTAAGCAGGTTTTGTATTGCCATAGATTTGTATGAGAATGCAAAACAAAAGCCCGCCGACACAGGTCATTGAAGGAAAACTGTGCTTCATATTTATTTCAGGTACTTATATAGCGCTGTCAATTTACACAGCACTTTACATATATATTGTACATTCACATCAGTCCCTAACCCTCAAGGGGTGTACAATCTAAGGTCCCTAACTCACATTCATACATACACATACTAGGGCCAATTTAGACAGGAGCCAATTCACCTACCAGCATGTCTTTGGGGTGTAGGAGGAAACCAGAGTACCCGGAGGAAACCCATAAATATATATATATTATTTATTTATTTCGGGTACTTATATAGCACCGTCAATTTACGTAGCACTTTACATATATATTGTACTTTCATATCCGTCCCTAATCCTCAAGGGGCATACAATCTAAGGTCCCTAACTCACATTCATACATACACATACTAGGGACAATGTAGACAGGATCCAATTCACCTACCAGCATGTCTTTGGAAGGAAACCGGAGTACCCGGAGGAAACCCACGCAGGCACAGGGAGAACATGCAAACTCCAGGCAGGTGGTGCCGTGGTTGAGATTCGAGCCAACGACCCCTAGTACTGCCAGGAAGTGCTAACCATTTAGCCACTGTGCTGCCCCATATAAGCTACAATTACCCAGCTTTCCTATCCTCAAATAATGTAGACTCTCTCCCCTGCTCTGGATGCAGCCTTGCCTGTATTTTCACAGCGTCCCTCAAATTTTTTTTTTTGTTCAACCAGTGAGTTGCATGAAAAATAAATGACCCATATTCACCATCCATAGACTGGAAGTGGATAGGGGAACCCTTCCCACTGAGTTATTGTAATCTGACAGAAGGGAGTCTTCTGATGATACTGATCAGCATTGCAGGCTAAAGGCACCGATTGATCGGGAGGAAAAAAAACCCAGCAGACTGGTTGTACAGGAGTCCGTCAGCAGGCTGACTTCTGTACAGCTAGCCTTGTCCATATATGAATTGAAATTTGACTGGTCCCTGCTGAACTGGCCAACTTTCAGTCCATGTATGACTGAATCTGGAGCAGGGGAGGGGGTTACATTTTGTCAAGGGGGGCTGGGAAAGAAGTCTAAAAGTCTTTTATATGAAAGTAGTTATCCTTTTATTTTGGAAACTAGTCCCTCTTAGTATAAGCCAGTAATAAAACCACCTGTAAGAAAAGTATTTAGCATTTTTATTGCAGTGATCAGCTTAAAGCAGAGCTCCACTCAAAAGGGGAAGTTCCGCTTTAAGGACTGCTCCCCCATTAAGGATTGGCACCTTTGGGGGGGTGGGTACCCGAATTTGACAGGTACCCGCTCCCACTTCTGGTCCGATCACCTAGGCGATCGGAAGCAGAAGGTGTCCTAATGGTTTTGGCCATACTTCTCCTTTTTTAAGATGACAAAAAAAAGAAAAGAAAAAAAAGTTTACCATTTTATGTGTACAAGGGGGCATATTTGCGGATTACTTGTTAGAAGTGGTTCTCTCTGCTTAGGAAAGCCTTTGAGACCTTGTGCTTTACTGTTTTTCTCAGTCTTAAAAGTTGGCTATAAATTTTACAACAGAGTTGGACATGCGTGTACAATCACACAGTCTATGGCTGTCTGCAGGGGCTTCTTCTCCCCCCTACAGAGTAGCATCTCCTATGTAGGAGGGATGGGGGCGCCCTTTGAGTAATCGTTCCAATAGGACAATGCCTCTACTGCCTTAGGAAGCCATAGTGAGTACAAAAGGCTTTTCTAAAGCTAGAAAATGTCAGTTATGAGGGACCGTGCAGTGGTTCCCCACAGACATTTAGGCCATTGCTAAGTGATCCTTTAACGTTGCCCTACATGGGGTCACTTTAAAAGAGAAGGGGGTGGGGGGCACATTTTCTGTAATTTTGCATACATGCAGATTATGGCACATACCTACCTCCAGTAATAATGGATCCAGGCAGTTGTTGCCGCTGTGTTTTCCTGCCTCCTGCCATCTTCACTGCTGATTCTTTTGAATCCGTTAGTGATGCTCCTTGGCCAGCCAATGATGATGTAACTCCTGCGCAAGCATACAGGAGTTACACTGCCCCCCGGCACCTGCATACAGGAGTTACACTGCCCCCCGGCACCTGCATGCAGGAGTTGCACTGCCCCCGGCACCTGCATGCAGGAGTTGCACTGCCCCCGGCACCTGCATGCAGGAGAGTTGCACTGCCCCCGGCACCTGCATGCAGGAGTTGCACTGCCCCCGGCACCTGCATGCAGGAGTTGCACTGCCCCCGGCACCTGCATGCAGGAGTTGCACTGCCCCCGGCACCTGCATGCAGGAGTTGCACTGCCCCCGGCACCTGCATGCAGGAGTTGCACTGCCCCCGGCACCTGCATGCAGGAGTTGCACTGCCCCCGGCACCTGCATGCAGGAGTTGCACTGCCCCCGGCACCTGCATGCAGGAGTTGCACTGCCCCCGGCACCTGCATGCAGGAGTTGCACTGCCCCCGGCACCTGCATGCAGGAGTTGCACTGCCCCCGGCACCTGCATGCAGGAGTTGCACTGCCCCCGGCACCTGCATGCAGGAGTTGCACTGCCCCCGGCACCTGCATGCAGGAGTTACACTGCCCCCGGCACCTGGCCTGTTTGGGCATCACACAGATACCAGGAATAAATCAAGTGTATCAGATGTATGGTGCACACTACAGCACATGTGCACATAAGAACATTCTAGGAAGGAGAAAGATTTATTTGGCAGAAGAGACTTTGCATGTCTTTTCCACTAAAATATTCTACTGTGTAGCAGTTTTTTGTTTTCTTTTTGTCTTTTTGGAGTTTATTTCCGCTTTAAGTCTACCATCTTGTTTTGAGATCTTTAAAATCGGTGTTACTTACTAATCCTCTCCACTCAAGGACTGGATATCACATAACTTTATAAACCGCTGGACACTGCAAGAGAAATGTACAAATACATATATGAAATAGTTTTCATGAATACATGGAATAGTAATAATAATAGCATAATGTCCAATGAGAATTCAATAATGACATACAAAAATAAATAAAAAGTCTTAAAGTGTGCAACGTGGCATTCGTGGTTCCTTAGGTGGTTATTTGAAATAACGTGACTTCCGTGGTTCATGAGAGGTGAGTATATAATGTACTAACCAGATAGCACATGTATATGTGCGTTGGAGTAAATAAGACCTACTCCAGAGGTACTCTGGGAACCGGAACTCTGCCAACAGGTGAGGTCGTCAGGTGGGGTTGAGTCACCAGATGTCATCCAACCAGCGCAGATCTCCTCATTCCAGTATAATGTATAATCATCACATTGGGTACATCATGCAATATGAACTTCGGCCACCAGGGGGATCATGCACATGGGTGTACGTCTCCTACCATGGATCACCTTAATGGGGGGCTCACAGTTTCCAAAAAATGAGCCCAGAGAAAAAGAAAAACTCCAATAGTGTAGTATTTATTATAACATCAGGAGTTACAATTGCAAGCAGATAAAAAAAATATTTGTGGAGAAAAGCAACTAGCACTTACATCCAAAGATGCTAAGGTAACATGTGGGTTATAAGTCCTTGTACAGGGGGGTCTCCCAGATGCGTTTCGAGTAAACCAGATTACTATCTGGTTAGTACATTATATACTCACCTCTCATGAACCACGGAAGTCACGTTATTTCAAATAACCACCTAAGGAACCACGAATGCCACGTTGCACACTTTAAGACTTTTTATTGATTTTTGTATGTCATGTTTACCTTCAATATGAAGCGCTGCATTCTTTTCTATTATTGTATTATACATTAGAGGATTCAGGTATTTCCTTTATATGCTGGCGGCTGATTTTATATTTCAATATTTACTTTATGCTACCCTAGCGCTCGTATATTTATCGTTTTATTCCAGAATTCAATAACTCTTCCCTTTGAGTACACACCACCATGTAGCATCCTCTCTTTACTAGCAGGTAGCCCATCATTGGCAGTTTCCGAGTCTCCAGGGTCCTAGCCGTGACCTCTCTCTCTCTTTCTTTCCTTTAGGCAACGTTTGCGTCAGAAGTAAAGGTAGACGGAGATAAACTGACAGTGGTCCGAGAAATTGATGGCGGCCTGGAGACCATCAGCTTAAATCTGCCTGCGGTGGTGACCGCAGACCTGAGACTGAACGAGCCACGTTATGCCACTTTACCGAACATCATGGTAAGCTAGCAGTCCGTCATGTGGTCTCCCATAGTAATACTTGGTGTGTTCTAGGGTTTGGGCCGTCATGGAAACCGGAAGTACTGTGTTGCCCTGTTTCCCTATCATGGGAATGTTGTTAAAGTATACACCCATTAGAACTTATTGCCTATGAGCATTAAATACAATGCTGATGGTAACTGGCCATAAATCACAAGCACAAATATATATATTTTTTTAGCGTATATCACAGTCACATGATGTAGCCCATGTACCTCTGCCCCTCACTCTCCCATACTGGGGCTTAAAATGTAATTCCAGTCAAAACCTAACCAAGTTTAAAGTGTTACTAAACCCACAACAGTACAATCAGTCTGTAGATGCAGCAAAGCATGCTTGTTATACTCACTGTGGAACCTAAGGGGTTAATCCTCTGCATTGTGTAAAAAGGCTGTTTGATCCTGTCTTCACTAATCCTCCCCCTTCTTCTACTGTCCCCAATCCACCTGCTGTTAGTACAGAGCTCTAGGAGGCATTCTGCACATGTCCAGTTTTGGTGTGTATGGCCAAAAAGTTGTGTTTTTTTTGGGGGGGGGGTTGTCTTCTCTGCTCCTCCTCTTGTTCAAAATGTCCACATCTTATCGCCGATATGAAAGACTGAACCCGTGGCCATTCTGCACATGCTCCGTTTAGTATGTTTTTTGCTAGAGAAGTTTTTTTTTTTTCTTGGGAGAGTGCATGTGATCAGCACAGGGCCAATCAGCACTGTCCAGACAGAGGTCATGGGTTTTGCATCCTCCTAGAGCAGAAAGAAAAAATTCTCCTACAAGCTTTAACCAGTGCTCTGCTGGACACTGATAGAAGTCACAAGACTGCTCTATACTGCTGATGACAAAAAGGTATTTAGCAGTTTATATTTACTAAAATAATTGCATTTCCATGTTCTGTGTACTATGGGAGACTAGATCTAGTGAATGCGGGGTCCAGGGAGAGTAGATATAGTGAATGCGGGGTCGGGGAGGCCAGATATAGTGAATGCGGGTTGGGGAGACCAGATATAGTGAATGCGGGGTCCGGGGAGACCGGTATAGTGAATGCGGGGTCCGGGGAGAGCGGATATAGTGAATGCGGGGTCCGGGGAGAGCGGATATAGTGAATGCGGGGTCCGGGGAGAGCGGATATACTGAATGCGGGGTCCGGGGAGAGCGGATACTGAATGCGGGGTCCGGGGAGAGCAGATATACTGAATGCGGGGTCCCGGGAGAGCGATCTAGTGAATGCGGGGTCCGGGGAGAGCGGATCTAGTGACTGCGGGGTCCGGGGAGAGCGGATCTAGTGACTGCGGGGTCCGGGAGAGAGCGGATCTAGTGACTGCGGGGTTTGGGGAGAGCGGATCTAGTGACTGCGGGGTCCGGAGAGAGCGGATCTAGTGACTGCGGGGTCCGGGGAGAGCGGATCTAGTGACTGCGGGGTCCGGGAGAGCGATCTAGTGACTGCGGGGTCCGGGAGACGATCTAGTGACTGCGGGGTCCGGGAGAGCGGATCTAGTGACTGCGGGGTCCGGGGAGAGCGGATCTGAATGTCCGGGGATGTCAGATATAGTGACTGCGGGGTCCGGGAGAGCGGATCTAGTGACTGCGGGGTCCGGGAGAGCGGATCTAGTGACTGCGGGTCTGGGGGGGCCGGAGAGCGGATCTAGTGACTGCGGGGTCCGTGGAGAGCGGATCTAGTGAATGCGGGGTCCGGGAGAGCCGGATCTAATGAATGCGGGGTCCGGGGAGAGCCGGATCTAGTGACTGCAGGGTCCGGGGAGGCCGGATATAGTGAATGCAGGGTCCATGGTTTAGTAACACTTTTAATTCTACTTTTACCCCCATTCTATTCCTATTCGGTCTACTCTGTAAAAGGAATATATTTTACTTACTAAGTTGATCTGCTAACCTGATATCTCCAGCAATGGCTTCAAGGATAGAGAAGAGATCGCTGACAACAGCTGCAGAGCCTGGGCGATGACATCACCCATAGACTTACTATGGGGCAGCTGTTGTTGGCTGTCATGTTTCTACACTGACCCAGCGCCAGGACCCAATCATGTGACCGGACCGGAGCTACTTCAGAATAAGTATAGTAATCTTTTCTTGTAGAGGGTAGTTAGTATAGGGCAAAGAAGGGGGGTTGGGAGTAGATTTAAGCTCAGTTAGGTTTTGACTGGAATTACACTTCAGTGCCGGTTCACACTGCACATCACATGTGATTCGCACAGCAATCGCACTGCGTTCCTGTGCAAATCACTTGTGATTCCTGTGAGGTGCAATTTGAGACATAATACAGTTTGTATGCGAATGCAAAGCATACTGCTTTGAGTCATGTAGGTCCCCTTCTTTTTTTTTTTTTTTTCTTTTTTTTTTTTTTTTTTTTGTCCTGCACCAGAATCAGATCGCATGGGTGTTCACACCCATTTGATCCATTTCTGCAAATCTTACTACGTTTTGTGAACCAATTTTGGAGTGTTAACATGCACACCCGCAGCAGTTTACACGAACAGGATGCGATTTTGATGCGGTGTGAAAATCGCACAGAAACCTGTGAGAAATCCACACCGCATGAGTGTGAACCGGCCTTTAACCTCCCTGGCGGTACGATTTTTGGTGCTGAAAGCGGTACCATTATTTTGCATGGAAATATGTAGTTTTTTATTGTAGGCCTGTAATTCTTAGGAATAACTCACTGAAATCTGTCCGAACAAGAGTCTAGTAAACATCCCGGGTATGATAAAACTTGAAACACGAAATCATAAATTATAATTTAATTAATAATCATAAAAAATAATAATATAATAATAAATTTAATTCAATAATATAATCAAACTAAAAACACTGAAATTTGAAATACAGAGGCAAATTCGCACATCGCAGAGCAAAGTCGCAGAATTGTTTTCAATGTCTGATGATGAATTTCCCCCACGAATCATTATCACTCAATTCTGCAAGTGGTTCTGATTTACTATCGCTGTTCTCTAGCCGGTCTAAAACCGCTTTTGACGTAAAGGGACGCTTTTTGGATGCCATGGACTTTTCTCAGTTTCCAGAGAGAACAGTCAAAATGCAGGCAGGGCGCCGGACAAAGCACTCGGGACAAAATATATGTGAAATGCATTGAAACAGCAATGACAGCAAAAATTACATTTTTTAAAAAAATTTTTTAAAAATTCAAATTTGCTGCCGGTTCCAGCGCCCGTACGTCCCGACGTCACAGGGACCGGAACACGGAAGTTGGATGCCGGCATCGGCGGCTGGAGGAGATGGCCAGGGACGCTGCAGGGGACACATCGCGGGAGCGAAGGACAAGGTAAGCGCTGCAGGGACTCCCTGAGCAACGCCGCATGGTAAGCTCGAGTATAGCTCGGGGTTACCGCTCTTGGTACTGAAATTTTACCCCGAGCTACACTCGGGAATACCGCCAGGGAGGGTTAAGCATGTGAAAAGAGTATATCCCTTTAAAAATGTGCATGCTTCTTCCTGCTGTCCCCTGGGTTCTGCAAACTTTAGCTGTGCAATCTGCTGATCAGTTGCTTGATTGCACTTTCAAGACCTGTTTCTGGAACAGATTATCTGCAGCAACACTCAGGGAGTAGCATGCACGTCTAAAGGGATGCCAGGCATATGTTCTTACATATACTGCTTGGGCTCAGAGCAGAGTATGGCTTCCTCCCAGGGAAAACTAGATGTGAAGCTGAAGTTGGAGAATCAGCTGAAATGGCAATCCGCCGCAGAATAAGGAAGTAGATGTCTAGTTGATTCTGTCGTTCTGCACTAAGAACAGCATAATAAAAGAAATGTTGAACACACAGTAAGAGCAATTCAATTTTAGAGCCAACAATACGAAAAAAAATTTGGGGGTTTTGCTGACACTTTAAGCAGCTGCTATTAGAATATCTTTAGCAGCACAGAATAATACGAATGAGCCCTCCGCAAGTTATGCGCTGCTCCGGGCGGACGGGCTCCTCTACGTTTTGTAATGGGCATATTAAGTAGGAATTAGGCTGCTGCGATCTTTATCCTGGGCTTTATATACTGCTCAAGCGGGGAACGGCGTGTTTACAGAAGCGCTAATTAGCCTTCGCTGAAACGGCTCCATCCATGAACCATACAGCTGCTGTGAGCTAAAACATTCATATTCAACACGCCTGAAATTTGGACTTCGGATGTGTGTTTTCTTTTAATGGGTTTCCCAAAACAAACACTTAACGGGTTTGCTTTTCCTCAAATCTGTTAAGCTGATTGGGAATAAAAAAAAAAAAAGCTTTGTGTTCATTAACCTTTTCTTAGCAGTGCTGGTTTCCAACTGAAAATCACTGCAGGGATGGATGGCGCTGGCTTCCTACGAGTCCCAATTTACTCAAGAATGGGCGGATATCTGTCTGGGGTAAATGCGGTCTATGGGCAGTCCACAAAATAAAACAAAATACTCAGTGAGAGCTTAATAGTAATAGCAGCTAGCCCAGGGGTGGGCAAACTTTTTGACTTGAGGGCCGCAATGGGTTCATATATTGGACCCGGGGGCCGGACCAAGAGTAGATGAATGATGTGTATGTGTCATCCATAGTAAGTATAGTAATATTACCCCATAGTAAGCATAGTAATTCATCCCCCATATAGTAATTCATCCCCCATATAGTAATTCATCCCCCCTATAGTAATTCATCCCCCCTATAGTAATTCATCCCCCCTATAGTAATTCATCCCCCCTAGTAATTCACCCCCCCCATGTAGTAATTCATTCCCCATATTCATCCCCCATATATTAATTCATCCCCCCATATTAATTAATCCCTCATATAGTATTTCATCCCCCACAGTACTATTCCCCCCCCCTAACTAGTAAGCCAAGTCCCCCCCTGTGTCAATTCACTTACCTTTGCTCCGCGCGTTCCTCTCGGCGTGTTCCCGCGCCGTTCCGGTCTTCAGGGCGGACTGTGAGAGGAGCCTAGCTCCCCTCCCCTCACGTTCGTCACGCTGCCC